ATAAAATATAGGGAACGGTGCCAACCAAAGTTTGGGGGGAAAATTTTTTGGTTGGTATTTCATGTTGCAAGTTTTAAATTTCAAATTTAAACTATATAAAAAACTTCTTACTTGCTTAATATCAATTTATTCGGAACCGGTTTCGAGCTTAGCCCATCATTAGCCGAATCTACGTAAAAGTAATTACATTATGATCAATTAAATATAATGAAAAACAGAATAAAAGTATTACAATCATAAACTTACTGTCAAATAGTTAAAAAGAAACCCACGACGTCATTAAAATAAAAATTATGAAAAGAATACATATTGAAATATATCAGTCAATAATGATGTATGTTATTGTGAACAATTAAAGTTAAAAACACAGTGTATAAATAAAATTGTATAGATAAAATATTTTAAAACACTTTAAAAAGAACGAAACGCACGAAACAAAACTTGACATGAGCACGAGAAAAACGACTATGAAACAGAAAAATAAAACCGGATACAAGAACCTAAACGAAAAAAGATATGAATTTTTAAGAAAAATTACAAACAATAAAAAATATAACCAATAAATAACAAAATTCGCATCACACTATATAGGAGAATCGTTTAAATATTTCAATAAAGGGTTAATTTGTGTTATATTCAATGTCGATTTGATCATTCAATAATGTGTATTCTTTTTTTCTCTTGAATTTATAAATTTCATATTGTTCTAGTAAGTCCATTTTTGGGCCTTTACTACATTGATGAATGATTTTAACATTATTGTAATTTATTATGTGTCCAGTGTCAGAGTGATGTCTGTAGATATTTGAATTACATTTATTCTTGTGTTCTTGTATTCGTATGCCTAATCTTCTTCCTGTTTGTCCTATGTATATTCCATCACAGTTAGAACATTCTATAGAATAAACACCGCATTTGTCAAGAGTGTCTATCTTCTCCATATGACAATTTGAGAGTAATTTCAGAAAAGAATATGGGCTAAGCTCGTAACCGGTTCCGAATAAATTGATATTAAGCAAATAAGAAGTTTTTTATATAGTTTAAGTTTTGGTATTAAAAGTAACTAGATCTGGTTATTTTTATAAAAGGTAAACAGAAAAATTTAAATAAAATCGTGCCACCTAGGATTAAATGGTGTAAGTAGGAGTGAGATAAATATTTAAATCAAAAGTGAGCGTCACTAGGATTGAGTAGTGTAAGCAAGGTTCGTAAAGCGTATTGTACCAGGTTGGCCAGACCAAGGCTTTCAACGTACGAAAACTGACATGGCCTAATCGTGACGTCACATGTTACAGACGCTGACGAGCTACGCGAGGCGACGTGTGTTTTGGTGTTATTATTTTATTGTAGCGATTTAGTCCTAGATTAATTTATTTTACAAGACAATTTATTATTAGTGTTTAGTTTATTTGTGTTTATATGTATATTAGGTATGTATGCGTTATTATCCTTCAATGATTCATTCCATTTAATTTATTATTGTAAAAGCCTTAACATGCATATCTCTTTTATTTATTATAAAATTTTAATTAATTAATGCCAAACGGTGAATGCAAAATATTACTATATTATTAATTGTTGTTATTTTTTTATTTATCACAATTAGTCAATAAACAAAAAGATATGATTTATGGCACTTTTTAAAATGCGTATAGAAACTAAAAGAACTTTATGTGAATTTTACAGATACCTGATAGTGTAGGAAATTCAGCGTTCCAGGAAAATTTATAAAATAACTCATAGTAATTAATTATTATTTGGTTATCGCCCACAGGTTATCCTATCAATGTAAGTTTATAACTATATGTTATAAAATTACACCCATTTATAATTTTAGATGCCTCCAAAAATTGTCGCTCATCTTACCATGTATCAAGGTTTATTGGGTTAAATATATCGTTCTTTTCGATTCCGAAGGACGAAAACTTACGTAGACTTTGGCTTCAGGAGTGCAACGAGGGCACTAAAGCTGCTACTGCACGAGTTTATTCATTACATTTCCAACCAGATGATTTTGAGCGTGACCTCCGAGCTGAATTATTACATATGAAACCGAGAGTGCTTTTAAAGAAAGTACTGTACCCACTATGAAGTTGAGTACAACCCAACAAAACATAGTATACATATAGCAGGGGTGGCTAACCGAAAACCATTATTCTATAATTGTTAGTTTCAAAAAACAACGCTAAAAATGCTCTGAGGAAGGTTACAATAAATAACCGAAATATTAGCTTTTTAATAAGTTGTTTCTTTAATTAAAACCTGGACCGTAACACTCCGAATAGTCGCATTTACTTGTTGCTCACTTGTATCGATCGTATATACTTCTTTTCTGCATTTATATTTACGGAATAATTTAAACTCTCCGCTATCAGGTAAATTATTACATAAATTGTGTGCATATTGCATATACAAATTATCCATATTATTTTTTTCCGCTGTTAGGTATATCTACTCTTAAATATTGGTGTGCCAAAATTGACATGAGGCAGGGAATTGTACACCACATGTTACTCGTACTACCAGTGGCAGGAAAGAATTACAACGAGCAAGAAAAACTTGTAGTTTTGTCGTTTGATGAAATGAAAGTGGCAGAACTGTACGAATATGATACTAAGGTTGACCAAATTATTGGTCCACATTCCCAGATGCAGGTTGTGAATGCTAAAGGAATTTTTGGGTCATGGAAACAGCCTATATTTGCCGACTTTGACATCAGAATGACATCAACTCTGTTGTCCCAATTAATTCGTAAATTATGCGAGATTGATTTTCAAGTAGTAGCTTGCGTTTCAGACTGTGGACCCTCAAACATTGGATTGTGGAGAGAATTGAGTATTAATTACGAACATTCTTATATGTTGCATCCAATGACCATAAAGAGAATTAACTTTTTTGCTGATGTCCCTCATCTTCTAAAATTAATTCGGAATTGGCTATTGGATTCAGAATTGCAAGTTAAAGATACCGTTATAAATAAAACTTACCTTGAACTAATAAGCGAATGTAACACAGAAATAAGCAGTTGTTTCAAATTAAACTCGGAACATATTTCGTGTGAAGGTGCTAGAAGCCAAAATGTTATGTTAGCTTCGGAACTTTTATCTCATTCCACTGCTATGGCATTAAAACATTATTACCCGAACAGTAAAGAAGCTTTAGCACTTAGTAATTTTATTAATATTGTAAACAATTGGTCCAATGTCATGAATTCATACATTCCTAATCACAGTGTTCCGCTAAAGTGTGGATATGGTAAACATATTGAAATACAAACGGATTCAATAAATGAAACGTATAATACTATTGTAAATACGAAATGCAAAAATAAAAGAACACTTCACACATTCCAAACAGGAATACTTACATCAATTGATTCGTTAAAGGGATTGTATGAAGATTTAAAATTTGATTATAATGTAGAGTATGTATTATCTCATCGGTTAAACCAAGACGTTCTGGAAAATCTCGGTCACTGCGGACAGAGGAGGATTAAATGACCATCCTACTCCATTAGCGCTCTGCAAAAATTGCGGATTATTGTATTAGGTAAACCTGCTGTAGGAAAAATCGAGACCACTTTTGTTGGATGCGAAATTTAATTCTTTATAATGTGTGGTAATTTCAAATTTTTACACGCGAACGGTTCATCGAAAAAAATCTAAATTTCGACCACACATTGCCTAAAGTATACTAAACATGCTTTTTCTGACCCATTTTCAAAAAAAACTACATTATGTGAAGTAGTGATATCTCGATAACGCGTTATCGTATGAGATTGAAGCTAACATCATTCTGACCGCCTAATTAAATTGAAATGCGATTTTATAATGAGAGTTAAATCAATCCGCGCAAATCTATTTCCGCGGGTGTGAGGAGCGCAGGAAGGTTCCGCTGGGCCTCTTCGGCATTAGGGGCTTTCACACGTACACACTTTCACGCAGTCTTGGAATGGCCCGTTCCAGTCGCGCAGGTTTAAACTTGCTTGTGAACACATTTTGCGCGCGCATGTTAGGAACGCGTGATACAGCAGTCGAGTTCGGGACGCTTTTATCGCGGAGTTTTGTCTCTTTTGAAAAATACTTTCACGCGGTCTAAAGTGTGGGTTTATTTTGCAAGTATTTGACATAAAAATAACTTATTATGACTGATACGCGATATTGGTCAAAAGATTTCATGATCAACTTCATAGAGGAATATAAATCTAATCCGTGCTTATGGAAAATAAGATCTAAAGAGTACACAAACAAAAATTTAAAAAACGATGCATACGAAAAGTTGGTGAAACTTTGCCAAAGCATATATCCAGAGGCAAATCGCGATTTTGCGGTTAAAAAGATTCAGAGCTTGCGAGGATCTTTCCGAAAGGAACTCAAGAAAGTAGAGTTGTCAAAGAGAAGTGGATCATCAACTGATGATGTTTATGTACTATCTTTGTGGTATTTCGACTTGCTATTATTCACGAAGGATCAGGAACTACCCACTGCTAGTATAAGTAACATTCCTAACACCGAGGATAATCAGATTCTTGAGGAGGATGATTTGGAGCAGGATCAGGAAGCATCGGTCGGATTTTCTGAAGAAATTGTTAGCACTCTAGGAAATAAGGAAAATATTGAAAACACCGAGGTAAGTTTATTTGACATGTTATTTTATTACACAGGTAATAGGCATTCTTACAACTGGATACCCTTTCAAGTAATGATAGATGAAGGTACTTATTTAATTAACAAAAAGTTTATACTTTTCCTTTTCGAAGCATATCATCTTGAAAGTCTATTTTTCCATCTCCATTGAAATAATGCATATAAGCTTCACGTACTATTTTTGCTGATGAACTAGTATTTCTCGCTGTGATACATATGGTGTTTTTAGTTTTAACAAAAAATTGTGTAATGCGCAAATAGCTAATACTACATATTTTATTTTTGTGGGAGCCATGTTTATTGCTGTGTGGAGAATTCTGAATTTAGCTGCTATTTGACCAAAAGTATTTTCTGTTACGTTCCTTGCCCTGGACAATCTATAATTAAAGATTCGTTTTGCATAATCAAGTTCCTTTTGTGGAAATGGTTTTAAAAAATGTTCATGTAGACTAAACGCTTCGTCCCCAAGGAACACATAGTTTAAATTATTACCAGTTTCGAAGTTATCTGGTAAATTGAGTTCTGACTTCATTAATTTATCGTAAAAGTCCGTGTACTCGATAACACCACCATCTGTTAGTCTTCCATTTTTTCCCACATCCACAAAAATAAATTCGTAATTTGAATTCGCTAGCGCCATCAAAACTATTGAATAAAAGTTTTTATAATTGTAGTATTGCGCTTCTGAATGAGGAGGAGGCACTATTCTGATGTGTTTACCATCCAAAGCTCCTCCACAGTTTATGAAATGCCATCTGTCTTGAAATCCCTTAGAAATATTAAGCCATTCTTCTTTAGAAGTTGGAAACTGCAAAGAAAAAAATCAATTAATGATTTTGTTCCAGGCTAAGAAGACCACGTCGAGTGTCGTGACACCAGCTTCAAAAAAAAAGGATCATTTCCAAAGAGACAAAAAAAGGCCAAATACTTCCACAGAAACCAGAGAATTCATTGAATTGTGTAAAACCGTATTGGAGCCTCAGAAAAACGTTACGGATCTCACTGAATTTGATGCGGCAGGTAAAGGATGCCCCCAAGCCAAGCCATATACGCTGAAAGCCTTATCAATCAAGTACTGGCAAGAGGACTTTTCAATAATTTATCTAGTGAAACCAAATTGTGTGATGGATCCAGCAGAAGACCCCTCAACTCTTACACCAGTAGTAGTTCACGATCATCTACTGTATTATCGCCATTATCCTATCATTCTATTAATATTTCTGAGTCATCAGTAGGGCAGGCACAGTACTCAGCAAGTGCTGCATCCAATGATTCGCAGAATCAGATGAATCAATTACCCCAATCAAATCAGGATTCAAATGATACTGCTTTATCGTTTTACGAGAATTCGTTTAGTTTTTTGGATAAGAACGATTAATCGACATTTAAACTGAAAAAGAGTAATTATTATCATAAAGGGTAGTTTTTGATACGTTTGGTTGCCGATACAGTTACCGGAAATAAAGATTTGTTTTGAAGTATTTGCCTACTTTTTAAATCCTTTTCTTTAAATTTTCTACTGCTAAATGATTAATGAAAGTTATAAAAATGCTGATCCACTGACATTGGATGGAATTTGTACAATTAAGTATTATTCGTATTATTTGTAGGTTACTTACTTTCATGTATTCTCCTTTCAAAGACTCAAACATGGCCTTACAAGTTTCCGGGATCAAATCACAAAGAGTTGATGTACCAATGCCTGTGGTGAAACACATATCTTGAAGTGATCGACCCGTTGCCAAAAATCTTAGCGTTGCCGTTAATCTTTCCTCCGGACTAATACTCTGTCTCATTACAGTATCTTGCTTCACAATTTTGGGACCAACAAGTTCTAATAATTTATCAAATGTGGTCGAATCCATTCTTAAGTAATTCTTATAGTCGCCTGGGTAATTTTCTCTCAATTGACGTAGAAGTGGCATATGTCCGTGTACCTCACGATCTTGTTTCCATTGTTTGACCCATTCCGTTCTGTTTCGCTGTTTAGACTTTTCCAATATTTTTTTATAAGTATATATGGCAGCAACTGCAATAATCTGATTATTCCTTCGACTTTTAGGCATATTTAACCATCTAAAAAGTAAAAATTATTCAAAAATTTATCAACTCTAGACAAAAATTTCAAACTTACCTGAAATTCCAAACGCCACACTAATCGCGAATGATACCGGAAATTTTTACGTTCACACACACGAGATCGGCGCTTACAGTTTTCAACCGCAATGAAGAATGCGAGATAAAACTGTGTCTGTTTCTACTGCAACAGTCTTGGCACGCCGCGCTCCAGTCCTGTCCTTAGAACGCGCGACGGGAACGGGCCATTCCAAGATTGCGTGAAAAAGTGTACGTGTGAAAGCCCCTATTATGTGGCGGGGAGGCATCTTTAAACGTATAGGACAGGAACGGCTTAAGCCGGAGCCTACGATATTCCAGGCCATACTGTAATGGTGGGGAGACTCGAATCTCAGGGTACGATTCTTCATCTCGGGGTACCGCTCAGTCAAGGGAGTGAAGGTAGTATCTAAACCGGCCCATACACGGTGATGCAAAACTGTCACATTTGCACGCAGAGCTAATGCACACGAGCAAATGTGATCGTCTATGTCTCAAAACTGACGACGCTGTCAGGTCTAGACATGGCACGATACGATCTGGTTGAGCTTGATTTTGCACGGCCCGCNTCTTGGACCTTCCAAGCAGACCTGCGCATCACATATCAGCAGTGTCTCGTCTGGGTAGGTGGATGACAAGATCTGGAGCAAAGGCTTTCCCGCTTTTATAGTGAGTCGTCCTGCACGCCTGGAGGACGTGGCAGAGTGTCTCGACACTGCTTCTGATATAGAAAATTCCAAGCCAAGATACCGAAACGTCGAAAAATCCCGCAGAAGTGGTATAATAGTGCCTTGCAACTTAAAAATTGGCTTAGAGCGCGAAATGGAAATACCCGCTGCTGATAATGCGGATATTGACGAGCATTTCGCTGGATTTAGTTGCATACCACGAGCATCGAAGTATCTGCTGATAAAATCGACTGTTTCGGGAATATCTAAGTCTCGGTCTTCAAGGAGCAGCAAGTCATCGGCGAAGGCCATAACTCTGACCTTGCAGTAGTCAGTAATTGATCCGCCTTTAGCGTCATAGATCACTTTAACTAGCTCGTCCAGGACGACATTGAAGAGTATAGGACTTAAGGGGTCGCTTTGTTTGACCCCTCTACGGAAAAAGATTTTCCCTGTACTGTTTCTGCCGACGGAGATAGTAGTGTGCGCTAGTGTACTATGGATATAAAAAGACCAAAGCCGGGTTGACACCGACGCGATTCAGGGCTCGAAGATGGAGTGAAAGATAAATCAAAGGCCTTTCAACTTCAAGAGCTATGACATTGTAAGATTTCCCTTGAAGTCTTCTTCTCTTAATGTAGTGGTCGAGGAGTAAACAGTTGGTCAAGGCCTGTGGCAGGACTCGATGGAGAAGCCGTAGTACAGCCGACCCTATGGTGATGGGACGCCAGTTGGTCGGGTCTCTACGATCACCAGTCTTGAGGATGAGTATAGTCCTTGAGCCTTTCCACTCGGTAGGCGTGAATCGACGGTATAATAAAAGATTGAACACGGCTATCAAAATGCTAACCGGGCATCGTTTTACTCTTACCACCGTGATATTATCGGGTCTGGGGGTGGAATTGGGGTTGGTAGATATTCTCCGAATCGATCTGATCGTGGATCTCGTCGGAATCTAGAGGCGAAGATGAACTGAAAAGAGAGCCCTAAAGATTCTCTACGTCCTCTATGGCGGGGTACTGTTCATCAGCCAAAAGAGGGACGCCTTCGATGATACGGTCCACCAAAAAACTTTTGTTTTTAACAAATAAGTCCTACGCCTTTTTATATGTGGCGATTCTGCGTTCGCTAGCGGTCTTAGGGAGAAGAGGTCTGAGACGATCTCGTTGTTGAGACGGCGCCTACTTCTGGTCGGAAACTCGGCCTGAACCCAAAGGTTAAAAGCTGAGTCCAACTCGGTGGTAGTGCCGGATAGATCTACGGATAGGCCAGAAGGGACTTGGTGGGTTCGTCCATAGATGCACGACACCGGACCAGAGTGTGTAAGAAGGCTCTATCATGCTCTTCTTGTGCCGTAGACTCAAGACATCGCCGAGTTGGTTCAACTTGCACTTTATTGGGCGGCGCACTAGAGCATGACGGTAAAGCCTCTCTGGTGTTCTGGGGTCGGCGCCTGTTGCTCCAGTCCCGGCCGCGGGGCAGGACCCCGCTCGAGCGTGAAGGTCGGAGTAAGCTCTCCCCGCTTCCTCTTTGGCTTGGGTAGGGGTCGTTCCACAGGTGTTAGTGGCGAAGCCACCCTAGGCTTGATGGTTGTGGCTGCGGAAGTGAAGAGAGTCTTCTCTTGCCTGTGGGTAAACTGGAGNTATAGCCATCGACTTCTAACCGTAATTCGTTCAGTAAATTCGCGTGAGAATACTGTTTCCGTTTTTTCAACCAATTTTTTACCCATTTTGTTCTCTTCCTTTCTTTCTTCTTCTTCACTACTATTGCGATAGCAGTAGCAATTAAATATAAATCATTTTGTCGTATTACATTCATTATAGTAACAAGTCACACCTTTTAGTCACAACTCACTATGAAACTGATACTAAAACTGACAAGTAAATTTGAACCGTGTGTTCCATCATTTTCGTTTCACATTTGCTCGCATGCAAACATGCTTCAGTTTTGCATCACCGTGTATGGGCCCCTTAAAAGTCGGCAATGCCTACGTCACATTCATGCCATGCATGCGCAAATACCAATTCTCCCACGTTTAGGTTTGACAACACCGCAAATTTCAAATATCACACGTTTTCGCACCGTTTACTGGCAATTTACCCCCACTTCTGCATGGTCTGTCCTAAATACGCCGACGCGCCACCAGTATGACAGAATCGAAAAGAAATAACCGTTGTCGTTTGAGGTTAAGTCATATTAGTTTTAAGGTAAAATATTCTTTTAATTGATTTCGTATTAATTTTTTTGATTACTGCACTGTAATTTCTTGTATTGTCATGTCTAATCTCGCCGTATCATCCTTGTCTAGAAAGAAGTGGTCCTGTAAACACCCTTCCTTAAAAGCTTGTTAAATTTGTTGTTTTTATTGAAAATATGTATATTTATAGATTATTTTTGTTAAATTTGCTGTTACTATCAATAAAAAAAGCAGTTCACTTTTAAATTTGTGTTTTGTTTCTTACTTTATAAATGAAAAAAAAAATAATAACGGAGTTCACCAGTTCAAATTTCGCGCCTAGTTATGCCATGCAAAAGTGGGGGTAAAATGTGTTGCTCTGATTTTAACATGTAGTTGGGGCTTCTTCTATATATCTGTTCTGTGCGCTCAGTCGTGTTTTAACTGTCGAGCTGATAGGTATTCGGAGCGCCCTCACAGTTTTAAACGTTAGATATTTTCAGGGTTTTTTCTGTAGGTTTTCTGCGTCTTATTTAATTTTTTATCAGATTTTCCTCTTTTTATAAAGAAGATAGTGTTTATAGTTAATATTTTCTCAGAAATAAGTTAAGCTTATATTCCTTGCCGTCTATTTTGTGGTTGGGTTTTCCTTTGTTCTATTTAGCATTTCATTGTAATTTCTATTATCTATAGTCTTCTAGTTTTATTATTTTAACAATGCCTAATGCTTGTTGCGTTCCCGGTTGCAAGAGTAATTACTCTCAAAAATCTCTTGAGTACTATTCGCTCCGCTTATATTTTTAGTGCGCATGTGCGACATTCGCCCCCGCTTAGTGCGAGTTTCACCCGCTTGGTCCGCATGCGCACCCTTAACGCGTTCCGCTTCAATTTATTACGTATTACGACTCAGTTCAGTTAACCCGCATTTTGAATACTACGCATCCGCTTCGCATCCGCCAAAAGTTCAGTTTAATTCTCTACCGCATCGCTACACCGCTTCAGAAGGTAATTAATCAATTTTCATTTGTTTTATTTAATTTTTTTAATTAAACAATTATATTTTATTTTACAATCATCTTGTTTTTTTTCATTATTACTAATTTTTGAAACCAGCACCTCCGCTGTTATTGTCGCCTATAATTAGAGCGCACAATTTTTGGTCCTTCGAGACGAATATCCGGATTTAATTTCATTTTTCATTCAATTTCATTTAATTTTATACGCCATTTTTGGACGAGATTTCGAACATTTACCGTCGCTACTTCTTTTTGGTTTCGTTCTCGTCCGTGTTCGCAAAACATCTGGTGCACATCTGCCAATTTTTGTTGCCTTTTATGGTAACAAACAACTCGGTGTTTCTTTTCTTTTATACAGGATCGTCATTTATTATTTTTAATTTAAAAATTTTCGTTCACTTTGAATTTTCTAAATTTCGCAAATATGTCCGACAAGTTACCCAAAATGATCCTGAAACGTAGTGGATTTTTAAATCGATTAATTGAAACCGTAGATGTTGGTAACGGTATAGATAATACTGAACAGGAATCATTATTTATTGTTCGCGCTACTGATTCACATCACACCTATGATGAGTCTATAAAAATCCATAATTCAATTATTTCGTTGATCGCTGATGATGATTTTGAAACGCACGATGATGTACGTCGTCAAGCTGATATCGCATACTATTCCATAAAGGCCCGTATGGCTCGTATAACTGAGTCCAAACTTGCACCTGCGACACCTGCACCTGTGACACCTAATCCGATTACCACACCTAAACTACAAAAAATCACCTTACCCATTTTTTCTGGTGATTTTAAAACCTGGTCTAGTTTCCATGATTTATATCGGACAATGGTCCATGAAAATACAACGCTTTCCAACGTCGCCAAATACCAATATATGATGATGTCACTATCGGGAGAACCGTACCATCTGCTTCAGGGATTACCGGTGACCAATGACAACTACGAAATTGCTTATCAAACATTGAAAAACCGATATCAAAATAAACGGCATTTGGCCACAATTTATTATAATAAAATACAAAATATTCATATGAAACATGAGGGCTCCTCAAAGGCATATCGGCTACTGATCGACACCTTCACGGAAAATCTCGGAGGTTTAAAAACGCTCGGTTTCCCGGTGGACGCTTGGGACTTTTTGCTCCTTAATATTCTGCTTCAGAAATTGGATTTGTCAATTCGAACGAAGTTTGAGACAGAATACAGTAAGGTTGAAATACCTACATACAATCAGCTGATTGAATTTCTGGAAAGTCATTCCAAAGCCTTGGAATCCGTGAAAATGATTTCCTCCTCCAAAGTCGCTAAATCCTCTCCGAGTCGTCCTTTGAAAACCTACCCAGCTACATTGGCCACTGAGAACAAACAGAAATTAACAAATTTAGCATGCATTCTATGTGAAGATTCACATTACTTATATCAATGTTCAAAATTTCATGAAAGAACACCATCGCAAAGATTAGCCTGCGCCAACAGTCATAAGTTATGTAAGAATTGTTTAAACTCCCGTCATACCACCGATAACTGCAAATCCACTCACACTTGTCGAGTATGTAATCGGAGACATCACACGCTGCTACACCTAAATTCAAATAATTTATCTCCGAAGCCAGAAGTTTCAAAACCTAGTCCTCCATGTGTCCCCGAAACCACGGCTGGATCTGTAATGAGTTCATTACTCACTGTTGTCCTGCCTGTCGCTGAGGTGGAAATTGAAGATTGTTTTGGGGCGTTTCATAGGGTCAGAGCATTAATTGATTCCGGCAGTATGATCAATTTCATAACCGAAGAACTTCAGAATCGCCTTAAAATCGCTAGAACGAAGCACTCCATTGCCATTGAGGGACTAAACCAAATGAATTCGACATGTAAGAAGGGCAGTGTCGTTTGTGCCATCAAACCATGTAATTCTATGCAATCTACGATTAAATTTTCTGCTGTCGTAACCAGCAAAATTTGTTCCAAGCAACCAAGAGTACCTATTGAATTGTCAAGATATCCTCATCTTCGTAATCTCAACATAACAAAGAGTCAATTATTACCTGGATCTATTGATTTATTGTTGGGGTCCGAATTAGTGCCATATATTTTAACTGGAAATCGTCAAATAGGTAAAATGGATGAGCCAGCCGCTTTGGAATCTGTTTTCGGGTGGTTGGTGATGGGTAAACTGACTGATTTTCCACCGTCAACGTCCAATACGTCTTTAATGACTGAGCCGTCTCTGGACATCTGTATGCAGAAGTTTTGGGAGGTTGATCAGGTGAAGGGGATCATCGCTGGGTCACCGGAGGATAATCAATGTGAAGATCGGTTCAAATCCACGTACCAACGTACTGAGACTGGTCGATTCATGGTCATGTTGCCTTTCAGGACAACAGATTTGGAATTGGGTGAATCTTATTCCCAAGCTCTTCATAGATTTTTATCTCTAGAAAAGAGATTAATCAATGATTCTGATATATTTGAGAAATATAAGCAATTTATGGAAGATTACCTGTCAACGGGCCATATGTCTCCTGTTCCCTAGACAGATTATTCCAATACTACCGCATATTACATCCCGCATTATTATGTTATGAATCCTAACTCATCCAAACTCCGAGTTGTCTTTGATGCTTCCGCCAAGACTTCCTCTGGGAAATCTTTAAACGACATTCTGCTTACCGGTCCCAAACTGCAGCGCGATCTCGTTTCCATTCTCATTAATTTTCGCTGTTTTCCTATTGTATTCATTTGTGATATCAAACAAATGTACCGCCAAATATTAATTGTGCCTCATCAGCGCGATTTTCAAAGAATTATCTGGAAGGATTACAAAACTAATGAGCTACTTGAATATCGGTTGAACACGGTCACATACGGGGTTTCTTCTTCTCCATTCCTGGCACTGCGGGCGGTAAGAGAATTAGCTACAATTTACTCGGAGCAGTTTCCGGAAGCATCGCGAGTGGTTTTGAACGACATGTATGTTGACGACATCGTAACCGGCAGTTTCTCGGTACAACACGCGTTAAGTCTGCAGCAGCAAATTATAAAATTATTATCATTGGGAGGTTTTGAGCTCGCGAAGTGGGCAAGTAACTCGCCAGAATTATACAAATCAATCAACGGCTGCAAGGATGGGGTTGCTGTATCATTGGATCAAAAGGAGGATGGTTTCATAAAGGTGTTGGGTCTCCATTGGGATCCTCAGGCCGACGCCTTTGGGTTTTCCTACATTCCTCGAGAGACACCATGTAGCAAGAGAGCTATATTATCAAGCATAGCTCGTATTTATGATCCAATGGGGCTAATTACTCCTTGCATTCTCGCCGCTAAACATCTTATTCAGAAGCTTTGGCTGGAGAGATTAAATTGGGATGATCTTCCATCTCAGGAAATCCAGAATTATTGGCATCAATATAAAATGCAGCTGCCACTTCTGTCAAAATTGAAGATTCCACGACAAATACAACCATCATCAAGTGAAACTGTGGAACTTCATCTCTTCTCGGACGCCTCTTCAGTGGGCTACTGTGCGGTGGCGTATCTGCGTACTGTTTTATTTGACAATACTATTAAACTAAATTTTGTCTATGCTAAGTCTAGGGTTGCCCCGCTGAAGGTTATTTCCATACCTCGGCTGGAGTTGTGTGGTGCTGTCCTGTTGGCGGATTTAGCAGGATTCCTGATGTCAAGCTTCCCATCATTCCTTAAACCGAAGATCTTCGCCTGGTGTGATTCCATGATAGTGCTGAATTGGCTTGATTCAGCTCCGCACCGCTGGAAGACTTTTGTTGCCAATCGGATAGGCCACATTCAGGACATCATCCCCAGAGATTGTTGGCATCATGTACCATCGCACGAAAACCCTGCCGATCCAGGTTCGCGAGGGCTTCTTCCCGCCGATTTGGTTCAGTGCAGGCTGTGGTGGCAGGGACCTGATTGGTTGTCACTCTCATCATCGAACTGGCCATCCAGACGGACCATTACATGCAACAATGAGGCCTTATCACGTAACTCACGTAACAAAAAAACCTGATAACTTTCTAATTACCTTACTCAATCGCTTTTCATCTTTGAATAAAATTAAAAATATAACCGCATATGTTTTGGGATTTGTTTCAGGGTGTCGGAAACAGAACAAACATTATCACCAAGCTCTTTCCATTTTCGAAAAGCAACAGGCTTTACACACAATCGCACGTGAAGTCCAAAAGGAGTACTTTTCTGAACTATACCAACAAATAAAAAATAATAAGCTGCCTGCAAAACAATATAGAAAACTCGCACCTTTCATAAGCCGGGAGAAATTGCTAAGAGTGGGTGGACGTCTTCGGAACTCGGAACTCGGCTTCGACACTAAACATCCAATTCTTTTACCCGGCAAGCATCGATTGAGTGAATTGATCGTCGAAGAATTGCATCGTCAACATTTACATCCAGGGTTTCGTACACTATCAGCCATTATTGCCAACCAATTTTGGATTTTATCGCCCAGAAATACAATTTATAAAGTATTATCGCGATGTATTAATTGTTTTAGAAACAATCCAAAATACATACCTATAACACAAGAGCTCGCAACAGTTTGTATATTAGACGGGTTAGTCATTCATATTCGCAGGATTGTTTATTTTTTAGGGGGTTTATTTTGTTTAATAATTTAGACAACGAAATTAGAAGTCAAACAACTATTACAGCATTTAAGAAGAAATTGTTAGAAACCATTAGAAATAAGAGAATAATATTATGATTGTAAACTTTATTCCATTATTCCATTTCTTGCTTTTTTTTTTGGTTGTATGTATATATGTATCTACATATTTAATAAAATATATATTATTATAATCCTATACACCAATTATGGCCGATTTGCCAGCTTTTCGAGTGAATCAGATGATGCTTACTACGGTGGGCATTGATTTCGCTGGACCTTTCACAACTACAGTACGGAAACATCGAGGAGCCAAAGCCTTTAAATCCTACCTATGCATCTTCGTTTGTGCCGTCACAAAGGCGGTGCACTTGGAATTGGTGACTGATTTATCTTCCGAGGCATTTTTGGCTGCATTGAGGCGCTTCGTGGAACGTCGAGGAAGATGTATCAGAATATTTTCCGACAGGGGAACTAATTTCGTAGGCGCCTACAATCAAATGCTACAGATTGCACAACAGGCGGGTGGACGACTTGGTATTGAGTGGCTGTTCAACCCTCCGGCTGCACCTAATTTTAATGGTTTGACGGAGGCTGGAGTTAAATCAGTAAAAACCCATTTAAAAAGGGTTGTGGGTAACCAAATCTTAACATTCGAAGAATTTTATACCGTACTTACCCAAATAGAATCCGTCCTCAATTCTCGTCCGCTTTGTCCTCTCAGTTCGGATCCGAATGACTGTCAAACTCTCACTCCTGGCCATTTCCTCGTATTAACACCGCTAAATACTGAAATTCCCTGTACAGATTTCCAGGATACGCCGTCCAACCGATTGTCGCGCTGGGAATTGCTTCAAAAAATGGTCCAGCATTTCTGGATGAGGTGGAGTCAAGAGTATCTTCATACCATCCAGCAAAGGGCAAAATGGAATAAAACGTACAACAATATCTCACCTGGAACACTTGTAATCATTCGAAATGAATGTTTTCCGCCCTTGACATGGAAGTTTGGCCGCGTTGAGGAATGTTTTCCTGGGCGAGATGGTGTCATCCGCGTCGTAACGATTAAGACCGCGCATGGTCGATTACAGCGACCTGTTTCGCAACTTTGTCCGTTGCCAATTGAACATTGTTGATTTTTATTTTGTATCATATTTTAAGTTGCTTGTACATTTACTGTTATTCGCGGCACAATTTATGTTTATTTACTTTTCCTTGTTGTTAAAAACATTCGTTTTTGGCGGGTGTTTGTTCGCTCCGCTTATATTTTTAGTGCGCATGTGCGACATTCGCCCCCGCTTAGTGCGAGTTTCACCCGCTTGGTCCGCATGCGCACCCTTAACGCGCTCCGCTTCAATTTATTACGTATTACGACTCAGTTCAGTTAACCCGCATTTTGAATACTACGCATCCGCCAAAAATTCAGTTTAATTCTCTACCGCATCGCTACGCCGCTTCAGAAGGTAATTAATCAATTTTCATTTGTTTTATTTAATTTTTTTAATTAAACAATTATATTTTATTTTACAATCATCTTGTTTTTTTTTATTATTACTAATTTTTGAAACCAGCACCTGCGCTGTTATTGTCGCCTATAATTAGAGCGCACAAGTACATTACTACCTTCAATTTTCCTTTAAATCAAGATTTGAAACGTTCATGGGAAACCGCGTTTGGAAATAATTTTAAAGCGTCGAAGGATTCTCGTGTTTGCATAAAACATTTTGAAGAAAAGTGGTATAGCTTTGATAAATCTTACCGACGACGCATTTTAATGAAAAATGCAGTTCCCACAATTGATATGCCTATAATACATGGACAAACTACTCACAATTTATATGAATCCATTTTAGCCATAGTCCAAAAATGTAATAAAAAATATAAATTTATCTTATTAAAAGACTATATTTGTTTATATATTTTAGATTTCAATTCAGTTCCAAATATATTGTGCAGCTTAAAAATATATCCGACACTTAATTTTGAATTTTTTTCTAAAGATAGAAAAATTAATCCTACTGTCATACATTTTTAACTTATTCAAAACATACAGCAATTTGAATTATTACTTGCAACTCTAATTTCATGGAAGGAAGAAGTAGTGTACCCTGCTCAGAATATATCAGTTATATTGAGAAATTTACTAGAATTACAAGAAAAACTACCAACCAAGAAAAGCAATATCGATTTTTTCATAAACCAAATTCAAAATTTAAATGAATTAAAACCTACGTATACCCCTCAAACTGTTTCTCTAATTTCCATGCGCTTACAATTATTTGCGAGATCATAAAATATTGTTATGGCCACCTCCCAATTATTTGAAATCAATTTCATCAACCGAAGAAAATTGCTCTATCGGTATTAATGATAATAGCATAAAATATTTAAAATCTAAACGAATGCTATTATCAACTAAAGATAAATATGTAAATTTATTATTGGATGAAGTGTACATCAAATCGACAGTGCATTCGGTTACAGCAGTAATTCTCCCAAATCTGCAGCGAAAACTTCAGGTTTTCATGATATCATCACTGTTATCAAAATATAAAGAAGTAGTTGCGATATTTCCTATCAGTAAATTAGACTCCGAATTTTTACTTAAGGTAACAACGGATGTAATTCAACTCGTAAGTGCAGTTGATTTTCAAACCATTTCCATTATAAGCGATAACAACCGGGTCAATAGAAAAATGTTAAAAGCATTATGCGGAGGTGTTATAACCCCTTACATATACAGGGTGATTTTTAACATACGGAGCAGACTAAAAGGGTAGGTACTAGGAGCCAAATTGAAGATATTTTTCTAATAAAATTTTGACCACAACTTAATAATCACAAAGATATAGAACGTTAAAGTTGAAGTAACGGCCGAGCATTTCTTACCA